TGTTTAAAATATCAAAACATTATTTAACTATGCATTTGTAACTGCAGGTTAAAGTATTCCATGTCCATCAGCTTCTGTGTTTCCTCTGCATTGCAAAGATCAATTTTGTTGATACTGATTTCATCAGAAAATTATCGAGATATACTTTTTTTGTCAATATCGCACAACCCTAATGTGTTATTTAATATATATATTAATTTATTGATGATAATTGTTTAAATTAATATAGTAATTAATACTTTTGACTCATGCATTTTGTTAAAATTGGTTTAAAGGGGTCATATGATGCGATTTCATTTTTTCCTTTCTCTTTGGAGTGTTACAAGCTCTTGGTGCATAAAGAAGATCTGTAAAGTTGTAAAGACTAAAGTCTCAAATCCAAAGAGATATTCTTTATCAAAGTTAAGAGTCAGCCACACCTACCTAAAACGGCTCGTTCGAACTTTCTGTTTTTGTGAAAACTTGTATCTGAACTGTAAATTATACTTTTTACAGTAATTGTACAGTTTAATATGTTACTATAGACATTGCCCTACCCCGCTCATATGGTATTAATTTTATTTGTGCAGGTCTTAAAAAAGGTCTTAAAAAGTCTTAAATTTGAGCTTAAAAATCCTGCAGAATCCCTGAATATGAAAGTCTTCACTGCGCTTATGTTGGTACAAAACCATTTTGTGGATATCTGACCTCTTTTCCTCCAGGAAAAACAACCTTCTAGAGGATCTGTATCGTGCCAACTTCAACCTGGGCAGCATTCACTTCCGCAACGGGCAGCACTCGCGCGCCATGCGCTGTTTCGAGCAGTCGAAAGAATGCGCCCGCAAAATGAAGGACAAGTTCAGTGAGAGCGAGTGTTTCCATAGTATCGGCAAGGTGACAATCCCACGACATCTCCAGACAGCAACATCACCAACATGTGCTGGCCTTTACCTGTGTAGTTTGGTGTTTCCCATCCCCTTCAATGATTTTTGACAGGTGTATTTATTTTTCGGGGTGTATCTCTTCAGATATTGCTTCATCTTGGTGACTTTGCGGCGGCGCGGCGCTCTCTGAAGAAAGCCTTCTGTCTGGGCTCCCAGCAGCCTTCTGATCGTGAGGCCGTCAAGAGAGATTTCAAACACGGTGAGATGAAGAACATCTGTGAGCGATCAGTTTGACAGATTTTGTCAGATCAGGAGATCTAAAAGCGGTTTATCTCTTAAAGCTGCACAGCTTAAGGCTGAATGCTGATCTCTCGGAGCGTAATGGAGATTTTCAGTTAGAAAATGCTAAATCAAAGCACTGTAGCTTCTAATAACAGTATTAGCAGACACTGACATGGTGTTTGACTGAATGTGTGTCTGATGCAGCAATCCGGGGCTGTCAACTGGAGCAGACGGCAACAGAAGTGACTGATAAGTTTTCCCACGAGGCCTTGGATCTGTCAGAGCAGCTGGGAGATCTTTACTGTAAAGTGGGCTGCTATAACAAAGCTCTGGAAGCTTATCAAGCACAAGTAAGAAGATGTACAATACCCCCAAAAACCATTTTTAATATATTGCATCCATATTTTTAATTGATTATTTATTTATTTTAAATGTCATTTTTATTTATTTTCAGTATATTTCTGTGTAAGCTTTATTTAAAGTTGTTACCTCACGTGTTTGTGCATCAGCTGGTGTGTGCAGAGGTTTTAGGGAAGCCTGCTCGTGAGTTAGCCGTCATTCACGTGTCATTGGCGGCCACATACACAGATTTGCGACAACATCACAGGGCCGTGGAACATTACAGACAAGAACTAAAGCTGAGAGAGGGCAACCCTAAAGAGGTAACATAGCCAGAAACTCCTCATAAACTGCCTACTACTCAGTTAATGTATCAAATCTGTTGTGTATCATCTTCAGAGCTGCACAAACTTCTTCATTTTTCAGTGATTGTCTTGTGTTTGTGTTTTTCAGGAGTGTGAGACGTGGTTGAATATAGCTGGTTGCGAGGAGGAGATCGGACAGTCTATGGAGACGCTCGATCACAGTTTCAGTGCTGCTCTGAGCTGTGCTGTGAGGTCAGGTCTAAACAAACTACAGGTTGGTTAAAAGAATGCTCACACATACAGTAGTTTAATGTGCAGGAGCCTCACTGTTTTTATGATCTGAAGAGGCTTGCTTGGAAAAACAGTGTAGTTTAACAGTGGTACTGGCTAGTGGTCAACCAACATTTGTGGTGGCCGATGCTGATAATTTAGAAAGCAGAGTGGCCGATGTCCATTATATAGACAATATCACGCTATTTAATTGAAAGATCGTATATAACACATTCACAACATTTCTGCAATTAGTATTTATTTTTGAATGTTTACAAAAATTAATCAATAAATGATTTAGTACATTTATATAAAAAATCTAATTTGTGTATATATTTTTAAAATATTTATATATTATAATTAGGGTTGGGAACCGAGAACCGGTTCTTATTCAGAACCGGTTCTGTTTTTTTAAAAGAACCGGAACCGTGAGCTATTTCTAAGTTTCGGTTCCGAAAACGGTTCTGGTGCGACACGTGACCAAGCGCTGTGAGCAGCCTTACGTCGGCGTTTCCCGTAAAGAATGTCACAAACTAAATAACAGAAACGCCACCCTGCCTCTTTAATTACTGAGCACATTGTTTCCCATACAGTATTTGAAATAGAAATCTTTTGGAACATTATAAATAGGGTTGGGAACCGATAACCGGTTATTATTCAGAATCGGTCCTGTTTTTTGAAAAGAACCGGAACCGTGAGCTATTTCTAAATTTCGGTTCCAAAAACGGTTCTGGTGCGACACGTGACCAAGCGCTCTGAGCAGCCTTACGTCGGCGTTTCCCGTAAAGAATGTCACAAACTAAATAACAGAAACGCCACCCTGCCTCTTTAATTACTGAGCACATTGTTTCCCATGACGTGCACTCCACAGACGCGCCGCGTCTTTAACTGCCGAACACATCGTTTTCCATGAGTGTACGCGCACTCGTGTCTTTGATAAATGTGCACGTTGTTTTGTCTCACTGTACACGTACCGGCAGCGCGCAGTTCCTGCCGCCACTAAATTACATTATATTTGTCCCATATTGTCATTAATATACATACTGACTTCAACTTGGACCACTAAATAAATAGACTGCTATTGTTATGCAAGTATGAGGGTTAGATTATTTAGTGTACAGG